GACTGGAGAGAAGATAGAAAGAAAAGATTAAAGAGAAAGAAAGACAGAGAGAAGAAAGAGAGGAAAGAGAGGAGAAGAAGAGGAAGAGAGTGAAGAGAGAAGAAGAGAGAAAGAGAGAGAAGAAAGGAGGAGAGAGAGAAGAGAGGAGAGAAAAAGAGAGAAGAGAGGAGGAGAGAGAAAGAGAGAGAAGAGAGGAGGAGGGAGAAAGAAAGAGAAAAGAGGAGTAGAGAGAAAGTTACCTTCCCCAAAGGTTACAAGACTTTTTCTTCTCTCTCCTCTCTCTCTCCAATACATGCTCACAATTTCGGTGCGAAATCTCAAATTTTATTCATGAATTGAAAATTGAGAGAATCCTTTTACAATTAGGTTTAGCATGTATTTATAGAATTGGGCACAAACATGGGTGGATGCCTAAAATCTTGCCTAATTGATAATAATTACAATATATTTGAATTAAAAAAAATCTTAAAATGGGTAAAAAATGATAGTTTTTCCCCGGCCAATAATACAAAAATTCCAAACAGTCCCTGCCGCTGTCCTAAAACATGCGTGATCTTCCATGGATGATTCGCTCCGATGGCTATTTGACAGAAAGATTATTACTTTCTCGTTGGGCTCGGCATGACAATCAATTTGATACCAACTTCGAATCACAAATCGCTCTTTTAGGCCACGATCACGCAACTTGAAATTTATATGAATCTTGAAAACTTTTGATCGATAGTGTGTTTTTTCTTGATGTTTTCGTTGATTTGTTCCTTGATTTTCACTTAGTATGCCGTCACGATCACGTTGTAAGAAACGCAGCTTGATTTCGTGCCCGAACAAAGATTTCTTCATCTTGGGTTTTTTGCTAGAATCTTGAAGTCCGGCGGCCTGAATCTGCAGCAATCTTATCGGCTTCACGCATGAAATCTGAACGTTCATCACATGCGTAGTTCAGCCCAGATGTATCCTCAAACCTTAAGCACGTAATGGAACTAGTCTCGCTTCAATCCATTGTGCGAGCGTCATGATACGGTTGCTCGAGCAAGATGCGTCGCTGCTGAATTTTCTATAACTTTTGCCATGAATCGTCATCTTCTCTCTAGCTTTTCTCTCCTCGGGCATCATCACTGGTCGTGCCACATATCAAAACGCTCGTCTTGACAGGACGAACACACTCACAAAATTTGAACATGAACTAACTCGGAACAAGGGAGATATGGCTCCCAAAAGTCACTGCCCAAAACTGTAAAAAACGTTACCATTAATGGTGACACGGTGCAAGGAGGGCGCATGGGAATAGCGTGCGGCCTACCCCTTTCAGTCTTTTACTCATCGCTTGTCTTAGAGTGTCTGTTTAAGCTAAAACTTGACCCCCATGGGTTTTTGACCGTTTCGGATCCAATGACGGTGTTCCCATAACGATTTGATGTATCGAAAATAGAGTTCTAGTTATGGGATCCATTTCAGAGTGTTAGAGGCCAATTTTTCTGAAATTTTTTCTTTGTTTGCACTGCCTTAAACATATCAAATTATGACGAAACTTGGCAGGTGGCCTTATGAAGTCCTTAGGAAGATTCTCACCCATTCTAGGGAAATTATGAGACCCTTGGGAATTCTACTGTACTTCAGGGGTTTATTGATCGGCTTCTCTTTTATTCCGCAACAAGGACCCAAGGTGCTGAAAAATGTGTTCAAATAGCTAGCCCCACCGAATGTTATGCTTCGAGAGAAGCGAGAAGGACAACATTTGAAAAATTTCCTCGGCTTATATTACTTTTTTCTTCCTAGCCACAGGTCCACATGAACGCTGAGGAGATATCCACTCAATGTTATAACTAGGATGCTTAAATGTTTGGATACAATGTGTAGGTCCATCCGTGGAAACGTTTTGGGGGAGAAGATACCTTTTGAGGGATCATATCGAAGTCCTCACCCTCAAGGGACTGTTTATGATTCTAACAGCTGAGGATTTTGTACGGACCTCGTTGGTTAGATTTAAGCCCGTCTGGTAGTCAAGTGCTATGCTTAAGGGCATTTTGCCCATTTAGTCTGGTTTTCTTTGTTTTTTTGTTTGTTTTGGATGGTCTGGTAAAGGGCCTTCTATTGGCGGACGTCTGCTTTTAGCACAAGATTTTCCTTGGCTGGCAGGGTACCTCATTTTGTCGAGGTGACAAGCTATGGGCAACACCTTGCTTACCACTAGTAGTTTTGACAATCAAAATACCTCTCTTCTTCTACCGAGGCGACCCCTAGGGGCTCAATCCTAGCTGCTACATAATAGATCCAAGGTCTAGCTGACTTAACTTTCTTGGGGCACCTTCAACATCTTGGAGTATGTTAGTGCCCTCTTGGGAATGGTGCTCTTCTTCATGAGACTTGTCTTACTTTCTTGGCGAGTCTTCTATCCTTCGAGTCCTTTTGTAAATGGACTCAGGCTGTTGAAACATTTCCTTGACACCCATCGTTTTAGGCCTTGGTAACAGGGTAATTTGACACCAAGGATTTTTTTCTTGCACAGTGGGTGAAGCCGCCTATGAGACGTGTGCTGCATCAACCTGCTTATTGATCCAAGCATCCTTTGCGAATTTTCACTTGGACTTGGGAAGTTGTGTCGTAGATACAGTTTTCACGAACTTCTTTTTATTTGGGGCTCTTTTACCCATGACCTTTCGGCCATGGCCACCCTTATTCTTCTAGTTTTACTCATGGTGCCCTTTCAGGTTTCACAGTGCTCAGGTTTTTATTTTCAGGAAACTCTCTTACTCATGGTTTCATGGCCATACTCGTCCGTCATTTTTACTCATGGCATTCCCTTGTCTGGTATACACCATGCCCGTTATTCTTTTTTTTTTGTGAAGGGTCATGCCTTTGGGACTTGTGTGAAGCTTTCTAATGTCATGTGGCCAGGATGTGCACTATAATTTAAGGTCATGCAGCTAGACCATGGTGGTGATGAATGGCAGTCTGTAGAGGCCACAGAGTGAGTATGGTGGTGGTTTGACTCACTTTGGCGGTGCTAGCCTGTACCTTTTTCAAGCGCGACGATAGTCTATGCCTTGGTAATTCGCACATGGCAGCGAAGCTTTATATAATGGCCGGGCCTTCTTACAGAGTTCCTGACATAAAAATCTTCCAAGGGGAGGAGAGCTTGGCACAAATGATTTTATTGGGTAGAGCCTGGTCAGGGGTGAGCCCATTTGGTTAATAAAACCACTATGAAAACCAGAGTGGCACCTCAGTGTTACCTTTGTTACCGACTCAGTTCATTTTGAGGTATAGGAAGGCAATGATGGTAATGTCATATTGAAGAAGGGGTGGCCGTCCTTCATTGCATGCATGGGAATGTGGCCTTTGAAGAGAATTTGCCCTCATTAGAGAAAAGGATGGTGAAGACCAAGGGGCTGATGTGGCCTTCTGCAGCCCTTTGAGTGCAAGGGGAGCACCAACATTTGAAGGGGTACTCTTCTTGGACCATCAAGGTGCTAGGGTCATACAGAAGCACTCTTGAGCGTGCCTCTCTATTAGTTGTTGTGCAATGTTCAGGCAGCTATTATGACCAATGCTCGAATACCATCAAGGTATTATTAGAAACATGGAGTCATGTGAACAATACATGGCTCCTCAATCATCGTGAAGTAGGGATCTCCTTGCTAGATCTTTATTTCATCAGCGGCCTTCCATTGATCGAAGCAATGTATGACGAGTTCGTGCCTCAAAACTCAGTCATCTTTGGTGGTGCTCACCTAAGGGGAGGAACCGCCTGCTAGTCTTCAAAAGATCTTTGAGATTTACTCGCTACTTTTCTCGAAGTCCAGCAATAGCCATGTGACTTTTTCCAATGGTTGAAATTCTTTTGCAGGGATTATGCCGAGGAAGCTGGTCCAGTTATTTTGAGGGGAAAGGGGAAAGCGGTTATGAAGGGGACACCTCCAATTTACCAATCTGAGACCAGTGATGACTATGTCTTCTTGGTTGCGTACCTGGCCTTGTTTCTATGTAAGTTTGTGCTCCCTGGAGGAGCCGATACTATTCGTCCAGACATGCTCTATGTGGCCGGCGACATGGTGAGGGGGTGCCAGTATGCTCTTGCACAACCAGTCCTTTGCAACATCTACCATGGACTGGGATCCATCTCGAGGGGGAAGGCCTACAAAGGCAAGAAAGGGGGCAATGGCCTTGTCGGAGGTGAAGCTTTCCCTGGATACTTCAAGACACCATTCCCCATCCACTATGTGTATGGGTGGCTAGGGGCCTATTTCCCTGCCACTTATGTCAGAAGTCCGGGCGCGAGGGAGAAAATGTGCCCCTTATTGAGGAGGATTGCCGGGCAGAAGGCTATCTTTCATAGCCCGGGGGGTGCACGGAACTTGTTTAGGAATGAGTTCTCCAATATCCATCGGGTCCCGTTTCCAGTCAGGGGCCATACTGATCGGGAATTTATTGATGAACTGGGCAAGGAGCTGGATGGTGCTCCCACAACCATCAAGGATCTCATGTTTATTTTGAATGTCAGAGGCGGGGGTTTTAGCCTATCGTACCCCATATAGGGCTAGAATTGAAGGGTACTTCCCCCATTGCTTTGATCATCAGCACGGGCTGGATCAGAGTTGGCCCTTCTCTGTGTTCTTTGAAAAGCGTCACGACAGAGTGAACACAGGAAGGAATATTTAGGGACTCTTCGAGAATCATGGCGGCCAGAGCATATTCGCACCACGTGGTCCACATGTTTGGAGATGATAGAAGTTAGCAAGTATGTGGTACTGCATTTTGGAAAAAGGGTCCGAGCGACTGAGGCGTATGCACTCTGGGGGAGGATTACTAGCTAGGGATACTGGGAAGTTAATCACCCCTAGAAAGGGGAGAACTGCAATTGGTGTCAAGATACCAGGCAAAGTAGAATCATCAACACTCCCCCTCTTGGCGAGGTCGTTGACTTAGGCTACTTCTGGAACTGGCAGGCGCTTAGGATACCTCGAGGAATAGCAGATGACTCCTCACCGTAGCTTCTTTCCATGGAGAAGAAGACGGGGAGCCTCTTTGACAACCTAACCTCTATCTTTCAATGGAGGGAGGGTCGAAAGGTCCTTGGTCATGAAGGGCGCCCAATTCAAGATTTGAACACACTGATAGGGAGCGGCCCACATAGTGCTCTTACTGCTGGCTCTTCTCGAGAGGGGAGTTCTAAGGCGACTGCTCCTTCTTCAGTAGGAGGGAAGAAAAGGAAGAGCTATGCCCCTATCAGTACTTATGCACCAACTCGGGCTGTCAAACCTGCTCCAAAACGCAGGAGTGAAAAAATTTCAGTCATCTTAGAATCAGGAGGTAGCTCTTCATCTTCTATCTCTAGTTCATTTACTCCCCCTTTCGAGTCACCCTTTGCCCTTTCTCCATCCTTTACTTCTCCTGAGCTGTTTTCTACCTCTTTAGAAACTGCGGTAGATGAACCTAGCCCCCCTAAACCTATTGTCATCGATTCTGATCAAGAGGTGACTCCAGAACTTGAGGTGATGCCTCTAAGTCAAAGGGTGACTCCTGAGTCAGATCCAGTTCCAATGGAGATCAATGGGGTTGAAGGCACTACAGTTATTGCTCAAGGGGAGAAACCTGACACTAACAGAACCTCTGACCCTCAGGAGGTTGCTGCCCTGACTGAGACAGGGGCTGTGGTCATGGATAATGAGGGCCCAAGCATCTTTCAAGAGGAAGGCCCTATGGTTAGTGAGGCACCTGAGCATCCAGAGGCTGCTGCCCCAAAGTGCGCAGGTCATGAAGATGAAGGGGTTGAGCGTTTTGTGATAGAGGTTCTGGCTGTGGGTGATGCAGACCAAGTAGAAGAGGTCGCGGCTGAGATTGTAGGTCACATGGAGGAGATAGCCCCTGAACTTGTCGAGGCTGAACTGACAGTTCAGGAAGGTGAAGAACAAAGAAGAGATGCTGGCCTTAAAATTATCGAAGCCATGGCAGAGGGTGAGAGACAAGGGGAAGAGGTTGTTTTGGAGCACGCTGAGACCGGAGTGGTGGTCTCAGCAAATGAAGGTCAAGGTGAGGAGGCTGGCATTGAGGAGACCAATGCTGAGGGGATCGAGCAGCCTAAGATTGGAGCTCCTTTTGAATTTGAGGAGCCTGAGTCTTTGGTCTTCATGATTGCTCCAGAATAGCCAGTTACTCACGTGGTTATCATTCCTTTGAGCCGGGCCCTCGAAACCGAAGCTCCAGCACTTCCATCCAGACCTAATTTCAACATAGTATCCGGTATGATTGAGGACATGCTCTGTGTAGGTCTTCAGCGTTTAAGGGAGATACCTCTCATCGAGCTGGGCGAGGCACTGACCAAACTTAGGGAGTTTTCCGTAATAAGTCCTCTCTCATTTTGATGCAACTTTAAATGAATTAGAGAGCTGGAGATTGGGAAGGTTGCATCATGAGGGAGAAAATAGCATGCTGGCTTCCTTGGAGGAATCGATCACACATCGTTGTGAGGGAATAGATTCCTATGCACAAACGAAGGCCGCAATGGTTGCTCATCAACTCGATCTCAAGATGGAGGGAAGGGCTTGTTTTAACAGGATGATAGCCATAAGGATGGAGATGCGGAGGCTGAGGAGCGAATTTGATGATCTCGAGAGGGATATGAATCAGAGGAAGGCCTTGGATGCCTCTTTGGCTGAGGATTTATCAAAGCTTACCCGCACCATCGAATCAGGAACCACCTCAGTAGAACAGGAGGCTCAAATGGTGGTTGAATTGAAGGAGCGTATTCAGCATGCCGAGGTTTCTTCTGCAGCATCCAGAGCGGAGATCAATAAGATCATTGATCATTTTTTAAAGTGTCCTTTCTTTGCTATATGCCGGCACTTGTAAAAAAATTGAATTTATGAATGAAATTCCTTTGTTTCTCCTCTGGCTCATTATAATGCATGATTTCGTTCTTGATTTTTACTTCGTTGTACTTCATTCCCTTCTTTTGGGCTTGGCTGCATCTCAAAACACTCATTGTCTCAAGGGGACAAGACAGAGTACCATATGCCTTGCGTCGTCTTGTGACAAGTTGTCATGGCTTCAATGACCTCGAATGGGCGAGCGGTTGCCTCTTCTCCTTTTAACGTTTGGTTAGACTAGGGCTCATAATTCATTTCTTCATTATTTGATGAGCCTACTCACTATAAATAGTCTAATCAAGAGGGGCTTTAGCTTCTATGCGAGGTGCATTCACTTCAAATTCGTCACAGCTCTTGGTCTCGAGCACAAACTCCTTTAGATGTTATGAAGTGATACGCTTAATCTCCAATTGGCTCTGGAGACTGCAAACTTCGATTCTTAACTCTGCCAGGGGATCTTGTTCTTGAGGGTGAGAAAGTTGTCCTTTCTCGAACTGCTCTCCTCCCACATAATCAGGGAAGCACAGGACTTGTGGCTGACTACTGGTCTGAATGAACCCTGCGATGAGACATGGAGCATCGTCTTTGATTATAGCAACCGAGGTTTGGAGGACCTTCCGTGGCAGCTGGCGCGCCAATTCTTCTTTCAAAAGTGTAATAAGGACATGCATGACTTTTTGATGGTCCGACGTGTAGGTGACCTTTGGAGCCGAGAGTTCTGTCCCCATGGCTCCCTCCATCTCAGGAGTGTCCTCTGGTTCATCTTCTTGCCGGGGTGGCTTTGGACTTGAAACAGAGGGGGAAGCCTCATCTTCAGGCAAAGATGGAGTTTCTTCATGGGTAGTGAATGGCATGCTAGGATGAAGGGGAGTCAGAGGGAGAATTTTGCCTTGTCTTTCCACTTCTTTGAACTTGTTCACCAGTGTTCGCTCGATGTCCTCAACATCTTCATGAGGCGAAGGTTCCGTCTTCCTCACAGATTTGTAATCATCATCATTTGGCTTTTGAGGTGACACCGAATCTTTTAACTAATACTTAACATTAGCATAGTGAGCTTCGGATACTGGAAATGGTCTTTTATCATCATAGACTGTATACTTTCTCCCATCTCAACGATACTTGAACCACTGGTGCAATGTGGACGGAACCACCCCCTGGTCATGGAGCCACGGACAGCTAAGAAGGATGTTGTAGGAGGTGTCAGTGTTAATTACATGAAACTAAGCATAATCGTTTATTTCACCAATCCTGAGACGAAGGCAGACCATGCCAGCTAGCTTTTCTCCCGACTGGTTGAATCCTTAGACTGTGATATGCGGAGATCTTCAGAGCCTAATCCCAATCTAGTGCAGATTCTCCTTGGGATAAGGTTGACTGCTGACCCGCCATCCAACATAATCTGGTTGATGGGGCATGCATGTAATTCACTCGTAACAAAGAGAGGGCGATTGTGAAATTTTTCTATCAATTGCAGACCATCCTTTGAGAAGGTGATCGCCATACATCCACTCAAGATTGTTGGGTCCACCTCAATGGACTTCACCTCGATCGCGTACACCTCTGGATTGGAAAGAGCATGAACCAGAGCCATACGGTAATCCCATGAGATCATGAGAGTATCATAGATGCTGAGAAGAGCTGGAAGCTTCCTCAAGTGCCCTATCACATCATATTTCACCTTTTCCTCGTCAACCTTTGTGCTCTAGGTGCTGCCACTGGTTTGGGTGGTATAGTAGGTGGAGGAGGTTTATTTTTGGTTGCTGGCTGGCTTGCTTAGTTTGGGAGATATGGGTCGATTGGGTGATAGGGATTTGTATTAGTGGAGTGATGATTTGAGATTGAGGCTTAAGAGGTGGTTGGGTATATGGGACGAGAGGCATCCCAGGAAATTGGAGGATGGGTGGATTGTCCTAGGTATTTGGTCGAGGAAGAAGCCCAGGGAGCTTTAGGACGGGTAGATTTTTTGGGGTATTTGGGTGAGGAAGAAGTGGTGGACTATGAAACTTTAAGATGCATGGCATCTGAGGTAGAGGTTGCAGCGTTTTTCTCGATCTCAGGCTCATTTTCACCGTGTTGGGTGATGCTTATGAGATTTACACCATGTGACAGATTTCCTGAGAATAGAAGCTCTGCCTTATTGATTCTCTCAGCCTCTGGTCAAAGTCGGGCTCATGGGGCCACTAGGGTTTCTTCGGCTTTGACTTCTTGCTCTTCTTTGTGGAAGAAGATGGCTTTGACTTAGCTCGAGCCGCCAGGGCATCAGCAACTGTTAAGAATCCAGCTGCCTGGGCTAGCGTCTTTCACAGGCGCCTTTGATGTGTCCTGCTTATATTGGTTCCTTCGAGTTCTCTGTCGAGGGCCTCGAAGTCTAGACATTCCTGGGTTGTACCTGCAGAAGACATAGAAGAGGAAGAAGAAGATGAGGGATCAGTAGGTGAAGGACTTTTTAGGTCATTTCCCTCATCAGACCGACTTGGAAAACTTTTTACGTCATCACTAGAGTTGGACGTGTGCAGGAAGTCTTTTAAGTCTTCCCCTACTTAGACCGTTGGGGGGTACTTTTAACGTCATCACCCTCATTGGACGTGCTAAGAGCAAAAAATGGCTCAAGGACATCCTCTTGATGAGATGAGGAAGGAAAGATGATTACACTGGGGATGAAGTTTTATAAGGTCGGCAATGGGGGAAGAGGTATGAGAAATTCTTGCTAGACCATCGGTTGAGGAATCTTGTTCTTCCGACGAGCAGCCCTTGACGCTCGTCTCCTCCTAGTTTCTTTCGGAGGTGCTTGATTCACCTTGCTAGGTTTGTGAACAACCCTAGCCTGGTGAACTGCCTCTCGGTTTAAGGACTTGAGTTTGCTCCGCCCGTGATAGACTCTCCATGGTTGGGAAGTCGCGGGTTTAGCAAGATCAGAGGCATCAACATGAGATTCTTCCACTGAACCTTTCTCATGGATGGGGACATTGACTTGTGGTATTCTTTCATGAAGGTGTAGGCAATATGACCTCTTTGCACCTTCTTCGCGACTATGGCTTTGAACCCATAGCATTCGCTTAGCTTGTGGCCCTAGATCTAATGATATGAGCACCAATAATTCTCGGTTCCCTTGGCAAGGCGTCTACGCCCTTGTTGGAGCATCATACCAAACAAAGCCTGAAGAAGATCCGATGGCAGCTCATCAAAAGAGTGTGGTCCTTCGCTTTCCTCCCATACTGTCATCGCGTCGGGGGCCTCAGTTGCCCCGAATGCTTTCTTAAGATCTTTGAGCTTTATCTGCCCCTTTTGGATCAAAGCCTCGATGAATTCCTTGAGCGTGCAGCATTCCTTTGTGGGGTGGTTTATCCTTCAGTGATAAGCACAGTAATTCGCCTGGGTGTCGATTCCATCTTGCTTAGGAAACTTAGTCTCAGGCAGCTCGATCATGTTCTGTTCCAGTGATAATCGGAGTAGTGCAGGGACCCATTCTTTTTCAAAAGGGTAAAATTTATTCTTATGCTTGGCCCAATAATCATCTCAATTAAGGTTCACAGGTGGGGGTACCCGATTGTATGATTATTGCTGCTTGCCCCCCTGATATGCTTTCATTGTGCCTACCCCTTTGGATAGGTCCAAGGTTTGGGAAGGAGCCTTCTTTGGATCATTGACAATGACAGCTGCGTTGATTACTCCTTTTTCTTGGTTGCCCTGGGCATTGGTCAGAGAGTTACCAATGCCACGGTTGTTTCCTGAGCTTGCATATTGTTGTCGTGACCGGCCATGGTGGCGTGATAAACTCTCTATGTGAACTGACTTAGAGATCAGCTCTGACATGGAGGTTGGATTGGAGGCCTCAACATGTAGAGAGATCTCAAGTCGGATGTTTCGCACACAGGTTGGGACTGCTTCCTTCTCAAGCATAGGATTAGGATGGCGAGCAGCCAAATCTCTCCACCTTGCTATGATCCATGGGTTCGTCTGATTCTTGGGTCATGGTTAGAAGCTCGATGGTTTGGACCTCTCACTCGACCTCATAGAAGCATTGGTGGAACAGTTTCTCCATTTCCTCCCAAGTATGTACTGAATTCGGGGGAAGTCGAGCATACCATTGACAAACCGAGCTATCAAGGGTTTCAACAAACTGACGGAGAAGGAGTCTCCCATCAGGCACTGTCACTCGACATGCCGCTTGAAAATACGCAATATGTTGAAGTGGGGATGTACTATCGAACAGGGGAAGCTTCCCTTTTTTGTAGTCTGAGGGAAACAGAACCTGATCAATGTAGGAGGGGTATGACTTT